GTTGCGCTAATGCTAATGTTAGCACCAGATCTCAAATAAACTAGATGGCTCCGTGGACTGAGAGCGTAGGGGAAATGAGAAGCCTGTGAGCGAGTTGGGGGCGGGGCTAAACACTCAAACCTCTGCAGAAACGGGTATAGCTCCTTTAATAAAATCCATAAATGTTGTTGGGTTAGGAAGTGTCCTGGACCATCACTGTCCTTAGACCCAGTGGGAGAAAAGGGATCCGCTTTAAACCTTTAGAACTAAGGTTGAGAATAGAATCGTATTGTTTCCATTTTCAGTTTCTGAGTCTTTACATAACAGCATCACATCCACCTCGCGGCTAGCAACACGCAGCTATTGCGGTTTTACCCTTATTTTTGAAATCTCTCAATGAATCAGGCTAAAACTGTGTGAGACGGAGAGAGAAGAGCCTAGAGCAATGTTGGGGTGAAGAGAATTTAAAATAGTTTGGTTGTTTCCAAGATGGCGTCCTGGAAAAGCCATGTTCCAGCTTCTTCCCTCTGGCAGAAGATTTTGTTGCAGGACATGCTAACATGCTAACAAGCTGCTATCAGTTTAAACAGAGCACTTTCTTGCACGTCTTGATTCTTGCACTTTAAAAAAAATGTGTCTTATTCTTGTGTTTTGAACCTTGTAGTATTTGTCTGCTGCACACCGGGGACCTTTGCAAATGTATTCCAATGTGGTTTTACTGCAGATGGCAAATAAAAATGAACTTTACATGTGGGAAAGGCAAAACACACCTGGGCGCTCCCTTTTCTATAACGTCTAACCCCCAAAAATGTATGTGTTGAATCCACATTTCTGAAAGTAAACGCAGAGTTGTGGCGGCGATTAGTAAAATTTGGACAACAGCCAAAACAAAATGGCGGGTGTTGAATACGTCACACAGAATCCAGCAGAAATGTCAATCTTTCAAATCAATTCGTTTCCATTTCTAGCAGCTCCAAAATCAATACAGCGGTCAAGAAAATCCAAGGAGATGAGAAAATACAATTATTATGGATCAAATATGTTCACGTGAGTCTAATGGACGCAACTTCTTCTGTTTAATGTCAAATCTCAAACTTTCTTTTGTAGACTTCTCCCAAAGACATTACATTTCTCCGGCAACAAAAGAAACTGCCAAATATTCAGTTCAATTCAATGTATTTTTGCACTGCCCTAAAACACAACAGTAGAGATCTCGTAAGACTTTACAAAACCGTAAATTCGGCGGAAGATATAACATAAAATATCCCTCAATATAATAATAATAAGTAATAAGGGGGTGTATAATAATAAAATAAACTAAAACCCTGGAGCTATAATTTCACTTCATGGTTCTGAGGTGTTTACAGACGTTTCTACTTCAGCAGCAGCTACACGTGCACAGATTCAGCAGTTCTCATTGTACAGTCTGACAGCAGCAGCGAGAAAGGAAAGGACAGAGAATCAGTTCAAAGTCAAGAAATGCAACCATGAAAAACACATAGGTCCATAAGGGACAGAGACCAGAAATGTCCATGATAAAGTCCTTTTAAATCCTTCTACAAATTCTTCTACTTGTATATTACCCTCAAAATTCCCCAAATCCCGTTTTCATCAAATCCAACAATCAGATTAGATTAAATTCAACTTAATTGTCTTTGCAACGTAACGTCATCTCAATCTCAACAACAACGAAACTAAAAAAAAATTACAAAAAAAATCTCAAAGCTCTCCACAAATCCCCAGCAAACAATTGCCACAACAATAGAAAAAACATAATTATTTCTTACCTTTTTTTAATTATTAATTTTAAACCCGGGAGAATCCTGTCTGAGGCTCGGCGCGCACCCGTAACTAAAGCGTGCACTCGCCTGTGAAAATCTCTGCACATGAATCAATCTGCAGCTGATGCCTTGAAGAGGGGCTGTCCCCGCTGTCTCTCCCATGGCAGAGAGAGAACACGCACACACACACACACACATATACACGCACGCACGCACACACACACACACACACACACTCTCCACCGGGCGCGCACTGCATTTGGTTCCGTGGTCTTTGCGGGAGCGAGGGGGAAAAAAAAATAAATGAAGAAAGAGGCAGCAGCGATCGCACCTGTAACTCTTGGAATTATTATTATTATTATTTTTTTTTTATTATTATTATTGTTTCCGAGTCCTTCCAGATCAGTCCAATGTGCCTAAGAACAGACACGTCGTCATCACCTGATATATAAATGACGCTGAGAGACTGTAGTAACAATGTGGAGAGACCAGAGACAGAGACACAAGAGAGAGAGAGACCAGAAAGAGAGATACAAGAGAGAGAGAGACCAGAAAGAGAGATACAAGAGAGAGAGAGACCAGAAAGAGAGATACAAGAGAGAGAGAGACCAGAAAGAGAGATACAAGAGAGAGGGGGGGGCAAGAGAGAGAGAGAAAGAGCTGAGAGAGCAGAGGGAGAGCAGAGAGAGAGAGAGAGAGCAGAAAGAGAGACCAGAGAGAGAGAGGGGCAAGAGAGAGAGAGAAAGAGCTGAGAGAGCAGAGGGAGACCAGAGAGAGAGAGAGAGCAGAAAGAGAGCAGAGAGAGAGAGGAGAGAGAGACCACAGAGAGACCAGAGAGAGAGACCAGAGAGAGACCAAATAGAGACCAGAGAGAGAGACCAGAGAGAGAGAGAGGGGCAAGAGAGAGAGAGAGAGAGAGAGAGAGCTGAGAGAGCAGAGGGAGACCAGAGAGAGAGAGAGAGCAGAAGAGAGCAGAGAGAGACCAGAGAGAGAGACCAGAGAGAGACCAAATAGAGACCAGAGAGAGAGAGAGAGAGAGAGACCACAGAGAGAGCAGAGAGAGACCAGAGAGAGAGACCAGAGAGAGACCAGAGAGAGACCAGAGAGAGAGACCACAGAGAGACCAAATAGAGACCAGAGAGAGAGAGAGAGAGAGAGAGAGAGAGACCAGAGAGTATAAAAGGCGTCCACAGTTATAAAAAGAAAAATGCAGTTGTAGAGAAAATATGTGAAAAGTAATGTAATGTAAGTTTATAATTGTATGTATTTGTTGATTGGCTGCAAAAAGAAGTGTTGTGGAGGTTGCCAGGTCCAAATTAAAGGGCAAATAAATGCATTTTTTTATCTGCATTGGGAGACGTTCTGGACAATGCGATTGCGTGTGCGCGCGTGTGTCAAATCACATGTAATTTGCAGCTAATCTCGAAGGGTTTTTTTTTGACCTTGTGCGCCGCTGACTATCGCCCCCTCCCCTCGGCAAGAATTGATGCGGGGATCCCGGGTTTCTATTTTTAGCTCCAGAGGCGGTTGGAGAGCAGCGTGGGCAGAGAGCAGAGAGATGGGGGGGAGGGGGGGGGGGGGGGGGGGGGGGGGTGATGAGGGGGGCTGGGGGAGAGAGAGAGAGAGAGAAATGCAGGCAAAGAGAAGGGATGGGTGGATGGAAAAAGGGGGAGACCAAAGAGAGGGAGAGAGTGTGAGGGGGGGGGGGGGGGGCGGGGGCTGTTCCATCAAGCTGTTGTGGGGAAGGCTTTGAATCGTGACCAGACAAACCAACGGGAATCACAAAGGGAGAAAAAAAAAAAAAAAAAAAAAAAAACACGGGATGTCGGGCGAGAAGAGGACCCTGCATGGTTGGATTTCGTTTGTTGCGTTGAGGCCGTAATGGGGAAAATAAATGGGATTTGTCTGAGATTTTTTCCGTTCATGACACGGAAAGAAGTGAGATATTATGGGAATGTTGATGTCTTTTGGTTGGCTGTGGGATTACAGTTTTTTTTTGGAATATTGGATTTGAGCTAGCACTTAGAATATATTTTTATTAAATATATATACTGTAAATGTATGCTAATAGAAAGGGTTAGCAATGACATGTTGAGCTAGCATTTTGAGTAGAACATAATGGATTAAATATATGTACTGTAAATGTATGCTAATAGGACTAGCTAATATGGCTAGCAGTGACATGTTGAGCTAGCATTATGAATAGAATATACTGGATTAAATATTTACTGTAAATGTATGCTAATAGAACTAGCTAACAGAAAGGCTAGCAGTGACGTGTTGTTGCTTGGACTATTGTAAAACTGTTTAAATGCCAATATTACAAATACCGGATTTTAGGCAAAGTGGACTTTTCCGGAACGAAGAGATAGTGGTGCATATAAAGTTGGCAAACCTGTATATTTAAATTAGTTACTTTTATCTCTGTTCTTTGGAAACTTTTATAAAATATTCTAAATATAAAAAGTGGATTGGATATTGCAATGTTTGAGCCATGATTCATTATAATTGCGATTCTTAACATATCGCGATACAGCCCATATCGTGGTTCGATTTTGTGATGTATTGAGATTCATGACGTCATAGAGTCACAACAAGCAGACGTCATAGAGTCACGACAAGCAGACGTCATAGAGTCACAACAAGCAGACGTCATAGAGTCACGACAAGCAGACGTCAAAGAGTCACAACAAGCAGACGTCATAGAGTCACAACAAACAGACGTCAGTCACAACAAGCAGACGTCAAAGAGTCACAACAAGCAGACGTCATAGAGTCACAACAAGCAGACGTCATAGAGTCACAACAAGCAGACGTCATAGAGTCACAACAAGCACACGTCATAGAGTCACAACAAGCAGACGTCATAGAGTCACAACAAGCACACGTCATAGAGTCACAACAAGCAGACGTCATAGAGTCACGACAAGCAGACGTCATAGAGTCACGACAACCAGACATCATAGAGTCACAACAATGAGACGTCATAGAGTCACGACAAGCAGACGTCATACAGTCACAACAAGCAGACGTCATAGAGTCACAACAAGCAGACGTCATAGAGTCACAACAATGAGACGTCATAGAGTCACAACAAGCAGACGTCATAGAGTCACAACAAGCAGACGTCATAGAGTCACAACAAGCAGACGTCATAGAGTCACAACAATGAGACGTCATAGAGTCACAACAAGCAGACGTCATAGAGTCACAACAAGCAGACATCATAGAGTCACAACAATGAGACGTCATAGAGTCACGACAAGCAGACGTCATAGAGTCACAACAAGCAGACGTCATAGAGTCACAACAAGCAGACGTCATAGAGTCACAACAATGAGACGTCATAGAGTCACAACAATGAGACGTCTTAGAGTCACAACAAGCAGACGTCATAGAGTCACAACAAGCAGACGTCATAGAGTCACAACAAGCAGACGTCATAGAGTCACAACAAGCAGACATCATAGAGTCACCACAAGCAGACGTCATAGAGTCACAACAAGCAGACGTCATAGAGTCACAACAAGCAGACGTCATAGAGTCACAACAAGCAGACGTCATAGAGTCACAACAAGCAGACATCATAGAGTCACAACAAGCAGACGTCATAGAGTCACAACAAGCAGACATCATAGAGTCACAACAAGCAGACATCATAGAGTCACAACAAGCAGACATCATAGAGTCACAACAAGCAGACGTCATAGAGTCACAACAAGCAGACGTCATAGAGTCACAACAAGCAGACGTCATAGAGTCACAACAAGCAGACATCATAGAGTCACCACAAGCAGACGTCATAGAGTCACCACAAGCAGACGTCATAGAGTCACAACAAGCAGACGTCATAGAGTCACAACAAGCAGACGTCATAGAGTCACAACAAGCAGACGTCATAGAGTCACAACAAGCAGACGTCATAGAGTCACAACAAGCAGACATCATAGAGTCACAACAAGCAGACGTCATAGAGTCACAACAAGCAGACATCATAGAGTCACAACAAGCAGACATCATAGAGTCACAACAAACAGACATCATAGAGTCACAACAAGCAGACGTCATAGAGTCACAACAAGCAGACGTCATAGAGTCACAACAAGCAGACGTCATAGAGTCACAACAAGCAGACGTCATAGAGTCACAACAAGCAGACATCATAGAGTCACAACAAGCAGACGTCATAGAGTCACAACAAGCAGACGTCATAGAGTCACAACAAGCAGACGTCATAGAGTCACAACAAGCAGACATCATAGAGTCACAACAAGCAGACATCATAGAGTCACAACAAGCAGACGTCATAGAGTCACAACAAGCAGACATCATAGAGTCACAACAAGCAGACGTCATAGAGTCACAACAAGCAGACATCATAGAGTCACAACAAGCAGACGTCATAGAGTCACAACAAGCAGACGTCATAGAGTCACAACAAGCAGACGTCATAGAGTCACAACAAGCAGACATCATAGAGTCACAACAAGCAGACGTCATAGAGTCACAACAAGCAGACATCATAGAGTCACAACAAGCAGACATCATAGAGTCACAACAAGCAGACATCATAGAGTCACAACAAGCAGACGTCATAGAGTCACAACAAGCAGACGTCATAGAGTCACAACAAGCAGACGTCATAGAGTCACAACAAGCAGACATCATAGAGTCACCACAAGCAGACGTCATAGAGTCACAACAAGCAGACGTCATAGAGTCACAACAAGCAAACGTCATAGAGTCACAACAAGCAGACGTCATAGAGTCACAACAAGCAGACGTCATAGAGTCACAACAAGCAGACGTCATAGAGTCACAACAAGCAGACATCATAGAGTCACAACAAGCAGACGTCATAGAGTCACAACAAGCAGACATCATAGAGTCACAACAAGCAGACGTCATAGAGTCACAACAAGCAGACATCATAGAGTCACAACAAGCAGACATCATAGAGTCACAACAAGCAGACGTCATAGAGTCACAACAAGCAGACGTCATAGAGTCACAACAAGCAGACGTCATAGAGTCACAACAAGCAGACATCATAGAGTCACAACAAGCAGACATCATAGAGTCACAACAAGCAGACGTCATAGAGTCACAACAAGCAGACGTCATAGAGTCACAACAAGCAGACGTCATAGAGTCACAACAAGCAGACATCATAGAGTCACAACAAGCAGACGTCATAGAGTCACAACAAGCAGACGTCATAGAGTCACAACAAGCAGACGTCATAGAGTCACAACAAGCAGACGTCATAGAGTCACAACAAGCAGACATCATAGAGTCACAACAAGCAGACGTCATAGAGTCACAACAAGCAGACGTCATAGAGTCACAACAAGCAGACGTCATAGAGTCACAACAAGCAGACATCATAGAGTCACAAAAAGCAGACATCATAGAGTCACAACAAGCAGACGTCATAGAGTCACAACAAGCAGACGTCATAGAGTCACAACAAGCAGACATCATAGAGTCACAACAAGCAGACGTCTTAGAGTCACAACAAGCAGACGTCATAGAGTCACAACAAGCAGACGTCATAGAGTCACAACAAGCAGACATCATAGAGTCACAACAAGCAGACGTCATAGAGTCACAACAAGCAGACGTCATAGAGTCACAACAAGCAGACATCATAGAGTCACAACAAGCAGACATCATAGAGTCACAACAAGCAGACATCATAGAGTCACAACAAGCAGACGTCATAGAGTCACAACAAGCAGACGTCATAGAGTCACAACAAGCAGACGTCATAGAGTCACAACAAGCAGACATCATAGAGTCACCACAAGCAGACGTCATAGAGTCACAACAAGCAGACGTCATAGAGTCACAACAAGCAGACGTCATAGAGTCACAACAAGCAGACGTCATAGAGTCACAACAAGCAGACGTCATAGAGTCACAACAAGCAGACGTCATAGAGTCACAACAAGCAGACATCATAGAGTCACAACAAGCAGACATCATAGAGTCACAACAAGCAGACATCATAGAGTCACAACAAGCAGACATCATAGAGTCACAACAAGCAGACGTCATAGAGTCATAACAAGCAGACGTCATAGAGTCACAACAAGCAGACGTCATAGAGTCACAACAAGCAGACGTCATAGAGTCACAACAAGCAGACATCATAGAGTCACAACAAGCAGACGTCATAGAGTCACAACAAGCAGACGTCATAGAGTCACAACAAGCAGACGTCATAGAGTCACAACAAGCAGACATCATAGAGTCACAACAAGCAGACATCATAGAGTCACAACAAGCAGACGTCATAGAGTCACAACAAGCAGACGTCATAGAGTCACAACAAGCAGACGTCATAGAGTCACAACAAGCAGACATCATAGAGTCACAACAAGCAGACATCATAGAGTCACAACAAGCAGACGTCATAGAGTCACAACAAGCAGACGTCATAGAGTCACAACAAGCAGACGTCATAGAGTCACAACAAGCAGACATCATAGAGTCACAACAAGCAGACGTCTTAGAGTCACAACAAGCAGACGTCATAGAGTCACAACAAGCAGACGTCATAGAGTCACAACAAGCAGACATCATAGAGTCACAACAAGCAGACGTCATAGAGTCACAACAAGCAGACATCATAGAGTCACAACAAGCAGACATCATAGAGTCACAACAAGCAGACATCATAGAGTCACAACAAGCAGACGTCATAGAGTCACAACAAGCAGACGTCATAGAGTCACAACAAGCAGACGTCATAGAGTCACAACAAGCAGACATCATAGAGTCACCACAAGCAGACGTCATAGAGTCACAACAAGCAGACGTCATAGAGTCACAACAAGCAGACGTCATAGAGTCACAACAAGCAGACGTCATAGAGTCACAACAAGCAGACGTCATAGAGTCACAACAAGCAGACATCATAGAGTCACAACAAGCAGACATCATAGAGTCACAACAAGCAGACATCATAGAGTCACAACAAGCAGACATCATAGAGTCACAACAAGCAGACGTCATAGAGTCACAACAAGCAGACGTCATAGAGTCACAACAAGCAGACGTCATAGAGTCACAACAAGCAGACGTCATAGAGTCACAACAAGCAGACATCATAGAGTCACAACAAGCAGACGTCATAGAGTCACAACAAGCAGACATCATAGAGTCACAACAAGCAGTAAACTATGTATGAAACACAGAAGTATCTAATGAAATGGCTTTTTTATGTTCTTCTAACAAGACAAATAAAGCAAAAAAAAGCTAGTACTGCTTAACTACCTGACATGTTTCGGCGGAACACTTTCGCCTTTCAGCAGCGCGACTAACAAGATCAACCAAGGAAAAGGCAACACAGGAAAACCTCAAATCAGCAACATCAGACCACTGCAAAAGAGAAAACCACATCATGGACTGGGACAATGCACAAATAGTAGGAACAGAAGAACATAAATACAAAAGATGGATACGAGGGCGATCGAAATCAGGAAGCGGGGAGCACGGACCATCAACGGAGACGAGGGGGCCTTCACCTTGGCTCACACTTGGGACTCACTTCTCCAGAGACCACAGCGCGGCGGGGGGGCGTGGTCAGTCTGACGGATCTGTGAGATCTGTCAGACTGACCACATCCGGCAACGACAGCTGATAAGAGACGCATCACACCCTCACGTGTCTCCTCTGATGAAGGCGGAAGTGTACCGCCCAAACATGTCAGGTATTTAAGCAGTACTAGATTTTTTTTTGCTTTATTTGTCTTGTTAGAAGAACTTAAAAAAGCCTTAAACACAAGAAGACAGAATGAATTTTCTACATTTATCAAATGAAATATCGCAATGCTTTCCTGAACTGTATCCTTTAAAATATCGCGATACTAACACCTGACTATTCTGTACCTGTGAGTCAAACTTTTGCCCAGTGGTACATGCCGTTGTCTTTCTGCTCTGCGACAAAATGGCTTCTCCCACGTCACTCCAACATGGACAGAGAGAGAAAGGAAACAGGGAAAAACAATGTTGAGATTGACCACAAGTTCGTCATGACTCCAGTGACGGTGAGGACTAGAACAGGCAGCTCCCTCCCGCTCCCCTCTCTCTCTCTCTCTCTCTCTCTCCCCTCTCTCTCTCTCCCTCTCTCTCTCCCCCTCTCCCTCCCCCCTCTCCTCACATCGCTCCGGGGACTCCCTCGTTCAACACGACTCGTCCATTTTATCTTTTATTTCTGCATAATTCACAAGTTCTGCCTTTAACATGAATCTGCATTTAGGACAGTCTTAATCTAGGTTCATTATTCATCACTTTATGGTTATAATTAGACATCTCTCTCTCTCTCTGGTCTCTCTCTCTGGCCTCTTTCTTTCTCTGGTCTCTCTCTCTGGTCTCTCTCTCTGGTCTCTTTCTCTCTCTGGTCTCTCTCTCTGGCCTCTTTCTTTCTCTGGTCTCTCTCTCTCTCTGGTCTCTTTCTCTCTCTGGTCTCTCTCTCTGGTCTCTTTCTCTCTCTGGTCTCTCTCTCTGGCCTCTTTCTTTCTCTGGTCTCTTTCTCTCTCTGGTCTCTCTCTCTGGTCTCTTTCTCTCTCTGGTCTCTCTCTCTGGTCTCTTTCTCTCTCTGGTCTCTCTCTCTGGTCTCTTTCTCTCTCTGGTCTCTCTCTCTGGCCTCTTTCTTTCTCTGGTCTCTTTCTCTCTCTGGTCTCTCTCTCTGGTCTCTTTCTCTCTCTGGTCTCTCTCTCTGGTCTCTTTCTCTCTCTGGTCTCTCTCTCTGGTCTCTTTCTCTCTCTGGTCTCTCTCTCTGGTCTCTTTCTCTCTCTGGTCTCTCTCTCTGGTCTCTTTCTCTCTCTGGTCTCTCTCTCTGCCTCTTTCTCTCTCTGGTCTCTCTGTCTGGTCATATTATCTCTGGTCTCTCTCTCTCTCTCTGGTCTCTCTCTTTCTGTTGTCTATTCCTCTCTTTCTGGTCTCTCTCTCTTTCTCTCTGGTCTATCTCTTCCTCTGGCCTTTCTCTCTCTCTCTGGTCTCTCTCTGGTCTGACTATCTATGGTCTTGTCTCTCTCTCTGGTCCCTCTCCCTTTCTCTCTTGTCTCTCTCTCTCTCTCTTTGGTCTTTCTCTCTCTCTCTCTCTCTCTCCCTCTTTCTAAAGTACTAAAGCAATACACAGCTTTGTCCATGACGTCACAGTCTGAGGATTCATCTTCGTTTGGAAACGGCGTTCAGGCAGAAGGGTCGGGGGGACGGGGGACACAGAACCACATGTGTTCACTGTCGCTTTGCTTCAGTCACATGTCTGCGCCCATTTGTTCCAGAAGTTCCTGTTGTTGTCGTGGATGGAGCTAAAAATAGCCTGGATCTTGTTGTGCGTTCGACAAAGACGTTTGTGCAGAAGGTTTTTTTTTCTTTCACATTTGTGTTTATTTTAAATATTCATTAAAAAACATCTCAAATCTAAAGAGCGAGAGTGAACATGCAGCACACGGGGGAAGAATATTTATTATTTATCACCGTGAGGCTATTTTTAGCTCCAGGCGCTGGCGTAGACGACAGGGGTTTCCGGGCGTGTGATGGGCAGGTCTCCCGCGGCACCTGGAGGTCACTGGGAGCGGGGTGTGGGGGTGTGGTGTGGGAGGGGGGGTTACCCAGGATGGAGCTATAATGACATACAGAGAGAGAGGGTCTGTACACATACATACACACACACACACACACACACACACACACACACACACACACACACACACACACACACACACTTTATCTCCTTATTAAGCTTCAGACATATGTATCATTCACACTATAGTCCTAGCTTCTTAACATTTACAGCTAATTATCTCTGTATGTGTTGTGTTTTCTCTACCGTCCTGTCTGTGCGCTGCAACAATGACATTTCCCCCTCTGTGGGGCGCATAAAGGTTCTCTAATCTCATCTTAAATAATAGTTAAATGAAACATACTAGCGAGGGCCTGGTCGTGCAGCTGCTCAGGTTAAAGACAGTGTGGGCTGGATTCTCATTCACAGCGCGGTGCTTTTGGAGCTTGTGAATGCCACACTCCCCACTCCTCCCCCCCTCTCTCTCCCCCCCATCTCCCCCCTCCCCTCTCTCCCCCCTCCCCTCCCCTCTCACATGTATGTTCTTTCAGCTTCATTCACGGGGGCTGCTTCATTGAGGCCGTGGCACGTGGCAGGCGGCGTGCTGCAGTCACGGTGCTGCGGCTCTGTCTCTGCAGCTCTGCGCAAAAGTCTTCATACCCTATCACTGTGAATAAGTCTTCATACCCTGTCACAGTGAATAAGTCTTCATACCCCGACACAGTGAATAAGTCTTCATACCCTATCACTGTGAATAAGTCTTCATACCCTGTCACAGTGAATAAGTCTTCATACCCCGACACAGTGAATAAGTCTTCATACCCTGACACAGTGAATAAGTCTTCATACCCCGACACAGTGAATAAGTCTTCATACCCTGTCACAGTGAATAAGTCTTCATACCCTGACACTGTGAATAAGTCTTCATACCCTATCACTGTGAATAAGTCTTCATACCCCGACACAGTGAATAAGTCTTCATACCCTGTCACAGTGAATAAGTCTTCATACCCCGACACAGTGAATAAGTCTTCATACCCTGACACAGTGAATAAGTCTTCATACCCCGACACAGTGAATAAGTCTTCATACCCTGTCACAGTGAATAAGTCTTCATACCCTAAAACTGTGAATAAGTCTTCATACCCTAACACTGTGAATAAGTCTTCATACCCTGTCACAGTGAATAAGTCTTCATACCCCGACACAGTGAATAAGTCTTCATACCCTGTCACAGTGAATAAGTCTTCATACCCTATCACTGTGAATAAGTCTTCATACCCCGACACAGTGAATAAGTCTTCATACCCTGTCACAGTGAATAAGTCTTCATACCCCGACACAGTGAATAAGTCTTCATACCCTGACACAGTGAATAAGTCTTCATACCCCGACACAGTGAATAAGTCTTCATACCCTGTCACAGTGAATAAGTCTTCATACCCTAAAACTGTGAATAAGTCTTCATACCCTAACACTGTGAATAAGTCTTCATACCCTGTCACAGTGAATAAGTCTTCATACCCCGACACAGTGAATAAGTCTTCATACCCTGTCACAGTGAATAAGTCTTCATACCCTATCACTGTGAATAAGTCTTCATACCCCGACACAGTGAATAAGTCTTCATACCCTAACACTGTGAATAAGTCTTCATACCCTAACACTGTGAATAAGTCTTCATACCCTGTCACAGTGAATAAGTCTTCATACCCCGACACAGTGAATAAGTCTTCATACCCTGACACAGTGAATAAGTCTTCATACCCCGACACAGTGAATAAGTCTTCATACCCTGTCACAGTGAATAAGTCTTCATACCCTGACACTGTGAATAAGTCTTCATACCCTATCACTGTGAATAAGTCTTCATACCCCGACACAGTGAATAAGTCTTCATACCCTGTCACAGTGAATAAGTCTTCATACCCTGACACAGTGAATAAGTCTTCATACCCTGTCACAGTGAATAAGTCTTCATACCCTAAAACTGTGAATAAGTCTTCATACCCTAAAACTGTGAATAAGTCTTCATACCCTAAAACTGTGAATAAGTCTTCATACCCTATCACTGTGAATAAGTCTTCATACCCTGACACTGTGAATAAGTCTTCATACCCTATCACTGTGAATAAGTCTTCATACCCTGTCACAGTGAATAAGTCTTCATACCCTGTCACAGTGAATAAGTCTTCATACCCTGTCACAGTGAATAAGTCTTCATACCCTGACACAGTGAATAAGTCTTCATACCCTGTCACAGTGAATAAGTCTTCATACCCTGACACAGTGAATAAGTCTTCATACCCTGTCACAGTGAATACGTCTTCATACCCTGTCACAGTGAATAAGTCTTCATACCCTAACACTGTGAATAAGTCTTCATACCCTGACACTGTGAATAAGTCTTCATACCCTGCCACAGTGAATAAGTCTTCATACCCTGACACTTTGAAAAAGTCTTCATACCCTGTCACAGTGAATAAGTCCTCATACCCTGTCACAGTGAATAAGTCTTCATACCCCGACACTGTGAATAAGTCTTCATACCCTAACACTGTGAATAAGTCTTCATACCCTAAAACTGTGAATAAGTCTTCATACCCTGACACTGTGAATAAG